CACACCCAAACGAAGACAGTACACACATGGACACGTCAAAGCAGCACTGACACTGACACAGTGACAAAACCGAGGACACACCCAAACGAAGACAGTACACACATGGACACGTCAAAGCAGCACTGACACTGACACAGTGACACAGCCAAGGACACACCCAAACGAAGACAGTACACACATGGACACGTCAAAGCAGCACTGACACTGACACAGTGACACAGCCAAGGACACACCCAAACGAAGACAGCCAGCATCCAGCACACACTTGAACACGTTGAAGCAGCACCGACACTGACACAGTGAAAGTGACACTGACACACACGGCAGCCTTACTGTCCTCATCGTCGTCGGAGTACATGGGTTCCTCTGCCTCCTTCACGTCCCCTTTCTCCCCCTCAGCGGGCCCTGCCTCCCGCACTACCTGCCGCTCTCGTTGGGGGGCCGGAGGGGGGCAGGGGAAGTCGTGAAAACGAGGGAAGAAGTCGGAGATCTGCGGGATGGGCATGATGGGACCGGGGCAGACGTTGATGGCAAAGTGCTCCTGCATTGAGATCTTCACCGGGGAGGGGGAGGGTGATGCAGGGGCCAGTGGGGCCCCCCCAGTGGGCAGGGACAGGTGTGAGGAGGGGTTGGGGGGCTGGAAATGGGAGTGTGGAGGTGGGGGCTTGGACACACTCATGGTAATGTATGAACGGGAGACTAGGAGGGCGTGGGGCTAGAGTCAAGATCATCTATCTTATCCCTGTCTTTCCCTCCCCCCCTCCCCCCCCCAATACTGTGTTAATATTCAGTAGTGTTGAGTCACTGTATCTATACTTTGCTTTATTAACCCTCTCTCAGTACAGTGTTAGCATTCAGTCACTGTATCTATGCTATACTGTGTTAACACTCCCTCAGTACAGAGTTAATGTTCCATAGTGTTCAGTCATTGTATTTACGCTGTACTGTGTTAACTTTGTCTCAGTTCAGCGTTAATGTTCGTTAATGCTTAATCACTGTATCTACACTATAATTTATTAAACCTCTCTTAGAAGAGTTAATTTTCAGTAGTGTTAAGTCACTGTGCCTGTGGTATCTAATCTGAACTGTAACCTTCTGTCTCAGTACAGTGTTAATGAACAGCAGTGTTCAGCCACTGTATCTATACTATATTGTATTAATTCTCTCCCTCAGTACTCTAGTACATGCTCTAGTAATACTCTGTAGTGCCCAGCTGGACATAATAAAACTTGACTGCTATGTGGAGTGTTTTAGTAGAATAATATGAACAACCTTACAGGACAAAAATGGAGATTTACTGTGATTGTTCTACCGTGGCCCTCATTTTGATTAGGCTCAAAAAATGAATATTGAATGAAAAAAAAGAATGGATATGTCACCTGAAAGAGAAAATGATGACAGTAATACTCATAATTAAGGCAGCATAATGACAGGGTTAATCAGTAATCTCCGATCACAGCGCAAAAGCCACAACTCACAGAACGCACATGCACAAGTGCCCAAATCTAGCCTGATACACAGATCCCAGTGAAGTTTGCATCGAAAGCTGCACGCATGCATGCTCTGATTTTCAGGCTCAGTGTGCACAGCTGCTGAAGTCTCATACAATGGAAGCACTGCAAGGCATCACAGAAGAGCACAAACATGAACAAAACCACTGAGAGAGAAATGCACAACACACACACACATACACATACACACATTCACACACACACAACACACACAAAGCATACATGCACAGCACACACGGACACAGACTCACACGTGCACATTAACACATACACAAAACATACATGCACAACACACAGACACACAAACGCAAACACATGCACAACACACAGACCCACACAAACACGCATACACAGACACATATAACGTACACACACAAATACACACACACACACACACACACATACACACACAAAACATACATGCACAGCACACACAGACACACATTCACTCATGTACACAAACACACACAAAACATACACAGACACACATAACATACACACACACACGTACCTCCTCACTCAGAGTGCCCCTGCCTTCCTGGTCTCCATCATGTCTTCTTGCTTGTCCTCTGTCTCTCTCACACACTGAGGAATCGTTCTCTGAAAATAAAAATGACATCAGCCCTCCTTCAGTTCTCCTGCCTCTCTCTCCCTCTCTCTCTCTCTCTCTCTCTCACTCCCCCCCCTTCCCAGCCCCCATCCCTCCCCATGCTTCTTGTTGTGACGTTTCCTGCTAAATCCCCCAGTCCGCCTCTGCGTGCCGCGTGCGGAGTGCAGAGCATGATCGTCTCAGCCCGCGGCGGCCCCTCCTGCGTGGGGACGCGGAGACGCGGATAGTACCTGGAGCACCGAGTCACGCGGATCTCATATTCGCGCACACAGGAGGTGTGGCACAGCTTCTTTACCATTACTGAGCATGTGCTTCAGAGAGTGCCGAAGACATGCAGCGGGAGACGACAGCATGTCTCTGTGTTTGCTAAACTGCAGGAATGATATACTGCAGGACCGGCAAAGCCTGAATGCATGTGCGAAATAAAATGTGGTTCAGTGCACTAGCAGTTAAACATGTGATAGCCTGATTCACTAGAGATACCCGGGATTCCTCCCGATCTCCTCTGGGCTCTGTCAAGCCTCATCTTTTCATCAGCGTCACCAGTCACATCCATTCCAGGCCGCCGCGCTGCAAACACTGCACTCCAGTGTGACGGCTCTGGGCCCCTGAGCCATGTTTCTCCCCACGCGTGGCCCCGAGGGGAAGGGCTGCAGACCCGGGGGGTTCAGGAATAGCCAGAGGCATTGGCAACTCAGTAGATAGCATGGCGGATGGATGTGCGGGGAATTAACTCAGGATACAGCATCCAAACTCCCCTCGATTGATGGAAGCTGCTGCCTTCAGGCCGAATGGCAGCAGACCCAACCGGCCGGTACTCATACAGGACATCAGGAGTGCAGTGAGGACTCCCCACAAATGATTAACTAGGGGTCTCACATGTGGGTTCTGGACCCTGGTCTGTGCAATGAGTGGAGTTGTTATTCCTATTTGCATTTAAACACTGTAATCTATAACAGCTCACAATGTTACTGTGAATGCTGCTGGATATTTGCACTAGAAGAGGCGAATTAAGGCACCGTAAGCAGGATTACTGAGCACCTGTCAGTCACAGCCGGCTTAGCTTATTACTTCTCAGTGGGTAAGAGCACGCAGTGACTGACAGCACACTGTCATTCCACCCATGGCTGCTGCAACCTCTGCTCCATTGCAGTTTTAATTCCTTGCACTGGCATCCTTCAGCTTACAAGCCCATGTCCTTCAGCAGTGCACCGCCCGCCGATCTGGGATCTGTGGATACTTTTTTGGGCAGGGGGTGGGGCTCCGGGAAAGGGGCCGGTGTGGTCCCTTGACGCGAAAATAAGACGCTTGCATGCAGTTGTTTTGCGTCAGCTAAAGGGACTTGCTGGGTAAGCGGCGGCCGTTTGGGGGCTGAAGCCACTGATTTCACTGTCACTCAGACACTGTGTCGATTACAGTGATTTCAGCAGAGTAACAGGGTCTTGGGCGACAACGCGGTGTGGGAGCTGCCAGTGATGGCTGCGCGGAAATCAGAATCCCCAAACGTCCTTTCATACAGTCTTCCTGGAGGTATGATAGCGAAGCCTCCTCCCCAGCCCCCGAATGGTGTGGGCAGCCAGGAGAACCGCCACAGAGGCCCTGCTCATTACTTTTTTACATTGTGTACTGAGCTCCTATCCAGGACAGCGTGAATAGCTTAGCATGTCGCATGGGTACTGCCTTAGATGAAGATGTTCCAGTTAAGGTCACACAGTGGGGGGTAAAGTATTTGAATATTGAGCCTGAATATCTTCTGGGGTAATCCTTTGCGCCCCCTGCTGGCCAGCTGTGTAAACACACAAGTGTCTCTTTACAGTGCAAAAATGCGAGTCCTTGGTGGATCGTTCCGGTTTTGATTCCCGTCTTTCAGGGGGTCCATTTTAATCCAGGTGCGGGATGAACTGTGGAAGGTCACAAGAAGGGTGTGGGGAGGAGGGAGGTGGGAGCCTTTTCACTTTCGGGGGTGGGAAGGCAGATTAGCTGAGCTCTGGAGAGCAGAGAGTTACCGTGAAAGGAGATTAGCATAACGCCGGAGAACCAGAAAAATGGGAAGTGCCGAATCAGACTCCGGTCCTGCGCGGGGGGGTGTTCTCGCCATCAAAGCAGGACGGGGATCTGACGCAGCACCTCTCCTTTGACACATTCGGAGCCCGGCCCGCTGGGGACGCCACTGATGGCTCAGGGCAGGCAGGAACGCTGTGGTTCCATACTGAGTCAGCCCCTTTCCGTGTTTGCGCCCTACTTCTGTGGCCCACTACAAGCCGTGCGGAGTGCCTGGTGTCACCTGCATCAGAGTGATGATAAATCACATCCTACTCGAGTCAGGGTTCTACTCGTACCCAGGTTCGCCCAATCAGCATCTGTCACACCAGCATTGTTGTTCCCTTGCAGGACATACCATTTGCCGATAGAGGAATAAGGGGAAAAATGAGTACTCTGACAAATTGGTAATGGATACAGGGCATAGGGAATGAGTACAAAGAGTGGAGAATGATTACAACTAATGAGAACTGCAATTATTGCTCTCTTGAAAATGGGTTTACTGTGTCGGACCTTTGTTATGTCATATCTGCACAGCTTTCCTTTCACGTCTCTATTTATGGTAATAGTTTACAGTCTCTCATCACCTACATTTGCAGTTTCTCTGCTGCACAAGTGTAAACTCCGTAGGTGCAAAGATTCAATGCCAATCCACCGCGGGGAGGGAGTGTGAGAGGGGAGGAAGAGGGGAGGAAGAGGAGAGAGATGGTGCGAGAGACGGGAACCCTCCATCCTGACATAAACCTCAAAAATGTAGCAGCTGTAACTGCTGCAGCACCTTGTGAGAGCCAGACACAGCAGCACAAAGACACCTTGCTTCCTTTGCACCCTAAAAGAGGAAGGACACGGCCATCCATTTCCTCAGGGTACAAAATGCAGCATTTACGCAAGAGTGCACATGCGCGCACGTGCACGTGGACACGCACACGTCTCATCTGCAGGGTGACATCAGCGTGAGCGCGGCCGGCTTCCTGCCCCACTGCTGCGTGGCTAAATATTCCGTTATACCTCCAGCTCCAGCTGCCTCCAGCTACCAAACTGCCCTTTTTGCTGCCTCAAATGCTTCCTCGTTGCACCTGCTCTGTCCTACGAGGGCAATATCAATGCTTCTGAAACTACCCCTTTTGCCCTGTCCCCCACACTGCCTCAGACGTTTCCCTCTTGCACTCATTCTGTCCTGTGAGGGCAATAACACTGTGACTCCCATGACTCATGTGCTAATCCAGTCACATTTAGCCAGATAATCCTGTGCTTATAGTTCGGCTTGTAAGACGAAGCACAGTGAACAGAAGGAGACCAAGAGTCTTGTTCACATCTGCACATGCTTCTCTCAGACCAGCCACCACCACCTCTACTGCCCTGTGAAGGACTCCTGCTCTCCTCCCCCAACATGCCCATCTGTCAGATCATATCCCATTGCTACCAGCCTTTTGGAGGTAAAGGAGGAGGCTCATCCCTGGGCTTGGGAGTCTATCTGTCTGACCTCCCTGTCTGTCTGACCTCCCTATCTGTCTGACCTCCCTGTCTGTCTGACCTCCCTATCTGTCTGACCTCCCTGTCTGTCTGACCGACCTCCCAATCTGTCTAATATCTCTGTCTGTCTAACATCTCTGGGCCTCTTAGTGCTCTGTGTCTCTTCTCTCTCTCTCTGTGTTTGGGGGTTCTCTCCAACTGCTCTCTCCATTTGTGTGTTCACTGTCTCTGTGTTTGGGTGTCTCTCCATCCATTCTTTCCATCTGTCTGTTCACTGGCTTTGTTTTTGGGTTTCTCTCCATTCTCTCTCTCCTTCTGTCTGTTCACTGTCTCTGTGTTTGGGTTTCTCTCCAACTGATCTTACTTTTCTGGTCATCTGTTCACTCTCTTCTCTACATTATGCCTTGATAACTTCCTGGCTGTTTTATTGTTCTGTACAAGGTGGTCCTGGGGAAACGTCCCACTCCATCGGGCCTCCTATCAGTCCAGATCGGAAAGGGGGGAACCAGGGGAAAAGCAAAGGCTGTTGGGAAAGTGATCATCCTTCAGGCAGGTTAAAAAATGCTTCCTGTGCTGCATTTCAATTTGATCACCATCTGGAGATGGAATGAGGAGCAGAGTCAGTTTGGAAAGTGATTGACAATGAGGATGATGACCCACCATTAGGATGATGATTATGATGATGAAAACAAACTTATATTTAAATATAGCAGTAAAACATTAGGAATTGCCACGAGAGAGAAGAGGATGTCCTGCAGCACATCCAGAGGGGCCAGTCTCCAGGGAACTGCACCCCACTGCAGTGCAGCCTACAGAACTTCGTAGCCTGGAGTCCATTCTGCACCCCCTCCTCCAGCTCCACCTCCATTTACTGTAGTCTAAAGAGGAGCTGCTCTTCTGACTCCTCACAGTCCTTCAGGGTGTGAAGAAGGACCAAGAGCTCCAGCAAGAACTCCACATCCACCTGCCGTTCTCCACCTTACTTTACGGTCTCTTCAGAGTCAGGTTTACCGTTGCTCCCTTCAGCTTTCCTTCTTGGGTTAGCTGACCTTACCCCCCCCCCCCACACACACACACACACACACCACAGGGAATTCTCAGCTCAACCTCAGCTCTTAACTGCTTAATTAAACTCATTATGCATATGGTAAATGGCCCCAAGTCCCAGCGATCGATCAGACAGCGGGTGACATCCGTGGCAGCATGGTGAGCTATGGAGGCCACAGACGCTTCTCCCACAGACGCTCCTCCTCCAGACATCCATCCCGCAGACGCTCCTCCCGCAGACGCTTCTCCCACAGACGCTCCTCCTCCAGACNCAGACGCTCCTCCCGCAGACGCTTCTCCCACAGACGCTCCTCCTCCAGACATCCATCCCGCAGAAGCTCCTCCCACAGACGCTCCTCCTCCAGACACTCCTCCCGCAGACATCCATCTCACAGACGCTCCTCCCGCAGACGCTTCTCCCACAGACGCTCCTCCTCCAGACACTCCTCCTGCAGGCATCCATCCCACAGATGCTCCTCTTGCAGAAGCTCCTCCCACAGATGCTCCTTCCACAGATGCTCCTCCTCCACTCATCCCGCAGATGCTCCTCCTGCACACGCTCCTTCCACAGAAGCTCCTCCCACAGACGCTCCTCCTCCAGACACTCATCCTGCAGATGCTCCTCCCACAGAAGCTTCTCCTGCAGGCGCTTCTCCCGCAAATACTCCTCCCCCAGACATCCATCTCGCATACCACAAACAGAGTCACATGCCCCAGTTCCCCGTCACTCACCTCCTGTCATTAGAGGAGCTTACTATTCATGCCCTGGTTACACAACACTGAAGATCAAAAGCGAACATGGCTGTGCAGACACCACTCAGTGACACCTGGCAGAGGAAGCGCGCCCCCGCTGTGGGCACCGGCCCGGACCTGTGTGCGTCTGACACCAGAGCAGGATCTGCACACACCTCTGATTCCAGCGTGAGTCACACCCCTGCCGCCCACCACCCATTCCAGCATCATAGATGCGTCGATAACTTGTTAGCTTGACTCAGTCTCACCTTCAGTCAATTTTAGCACATGCAGGGGATGCGGTGAGGAAGGGGGAAGCGACGGAGATCACCTGACTGTGCTGGGGCTGCTAGTGCCCTCCCACCCGTATCTCTGAGTCCCTCCAGTCTCCACTTGGAAAGTTGCGTACATTTAAGTCTGCACTTGCGGAAGGGAGTTGATTTATGCTGACTCCTGCTGACTAATCAGTTGCATTGTCTGTGTGCTGGTATGCGCACGGAGGTATTTATGTAACGCTCTGCAATCACACCCTGCGTTGCAACGGGATCAGCACGTGGCTTTGATGCAGGCCGCACCTATTGCAGGATGCCTGTTCTGCAAAGCTGCTTCATGCTTATAACCCCTGCAAATCTCCCTGGCAACAGACACGCTCTTACTGTGCATTCAGGTTGAAGGGCCAGAGCAGGACGAGCTAGATGGCGAGTTACCTGTTTCCAGGGGATGATGATGATGATGATGATGATGATGATGACACACTCCGTGGGGAAAAGGTACAGAATTAAGCTGAGGAAAGCGCATTGTCTCGAGAGCATTTACTGAGTTACGCCTCGCTGCCCAGTCACACTTCCGAAAAGGTGCGGGCAGACAGCGACAAGGCTGGCTGCCTTTAATTATCCCCCAACTTGGGGAATAATCAGAGGCGATTCGCTTTCTGAGTATTTGTGCCAGCAAGGGGTTTGGTCAAATGGGACAGGACATCCTCTTAACCTAAAGAGCCGCGCGCGTGAGCAGATGCATAAAGACTCATTACGTGTGCTGAGACACTCCTCCCGCAGACGCTCCTCATCATTACGTGTGCTGAGACACTCCTCCCGCAGACGCTCCTCATCATTACGTGTGCTGAGCCACTTCTCCCGCAGACGCTCCTCATCATTACGTGTGCTGAGCCACTCCTCCCACAGACACTCCTCTTCCAGACACTCCTCCCGCAGACGCTCCTCATCATTACCTGTGCTGTCATTATCAAAGGATACTTCAGCTGATGATTTTTCGGAACCCTTTATAATTTAACAAAGCATTTCGGTTTAAGTGGGCGTCCCCTTTAAGAGCAAGGTCCCCTTTAAAAGCAAAGCCTGAGCTGATATTACCCGGTGCTTCATTTTTGCGTGTGAGCGACTGTTCTGTCCTTCAGAGCTGAAGGTAGCCTTATGTCTGGGATGGATACCTGCGTTACAAGGGCCCGGCTGAGTGCGTGAGGACCATGGGCTACATGCCCACGGAGATGGAGCTCATTGAAATCATCCAGCACATCAAGATGAGGCGTGAGCTGCTGCGTGTTCCCATGAGAAGAGGGAATGTCTCATTCAGGGTGGGAGGTCGGGCCACACACTAAGCCCACAAAAGCTTTTCATTCCTGTCAGCTACTGGCACAAAGAGAAGGCACGGCATCTCCCTTGTACTTGCCTCATTACACTGGTTAACAATTAAATATAGAGTTGATTTTAAAGTTCTATTATTTATTACAAAGTTTTACACAGTCAGGAACCAGAAAATATTGCAGATCTATTCCATCCCTGTTCCACTCCCGGGCTCCTAAGATCTTCTGATCAAACGCTGCTGTCTGTTCCTCGGTCTCGCCTGGGGTGACCAGGCTTTCTAGGTTGCGGCATCTAGGCTGTGGAATGGTCTCCCACTCGCCATCAGATCTGCCCCTATGACTCAAACCTTTAAATCTCATCTTAAAGCATTTATTTTTGCTATCGTTTGAGTCGACCCAAGCATGTTTGTTATTAATTGTGTTTTAGGTTTTATTTACTATTATTCTATTTTATTATTTTTACTTATTGTATTTATGTTTCGCAGTGTTTATTACTGAGTTTTAGTACATACATCTTTCTATTTTATATGTTGTGGTCTGTACTGCACTTTAATCAACTTTTGTTGTTTTAAATATGTTCTATAAATAAATTGACTTGACTTGACTAATGACCGGAGTGGGTGGGCTAGTGGAGAGGACTTCTGGGAGCCGACGGGGCCCCGAATGAGGGCGGAGACGGCACTTATGCTGGGGGTGAGGAAGCTGAGGTGTGCATTCAAACAGGGGAGGGAGGCCAGTTTTTCCCGGGTACACTACTGCTACCACCAAGATTACAAGGCCGCTGCTAGTGTTGCTAATGCTAACAATGTCACTGCTGGTGCTAATAATGCTAGCAATGGTACTACTGATCCTGGACCTCACTGGGAATGGAGCCATGGATTTCACTGGTGAGAGGGTAGATACTCCTAAGACAGACAGACATCCCCCACACACTGCAGGGTGGCTCTAGTCCATGGTCACCAGGTTAAACGTATTTCGTATTGGAACAGGAAGTGATGTCACCGCGCATGTCATTAATACCTGCAAGTGCACACAGTGAGAGAGGCGGCGAGGTGTCACACACTCAGATGAGTGTTTAAGGGGGACTTTACAGGAAGCGGGTCCGGGCGCATGTGAATGTTGCCGACAGGACGCTTCTGGGGGCCTCACTCGTCTGTCAGGGACGAGTGACATTTACGATGCAGAGCGGCCCGGCGGAGGGGGACAGCGCGTACCGCGGCGAGGGAGGGAGGGCCAGCACTCTGAGCACCTGTTTCAGTTTCAGCCGACCCTCCCTCGTTCTCTGCCACCTTCCTCTCTGCAGAGTTTGTTATGATGCCGTCGCCACAGCAGCGGAACACGAGGCTGTTGCCAGAAGAGCCAGCGGCGCGGCGGCGACGTGGGTGGCTGGCGGTCACACGCGCGCCGACGCTCATGCTAACAATGCCCTTCAAACAGCGCGTATGACTGCATGTCAAGGGCACAGTTACATAAATGTGAGATTTATGTAAGAGTGCCGGTTATTTATAAGCTCCGCTGATGGCTCCTACCTGATAGGAAGGTATTCTTCCCCCAAATAAAAGATGGTTCATGCTAGCAGGAATCAGATCGAAGTATTTTCAGCAAAGAAACTGGAATAGAAAAACACACAAGAAGCGGCCACTTTATTAGTTACACCTAGCTAGTACCGGGCTTTGCCTTCAGGACCGCTTTAAGATGTACATTCAGGAAAGCCGTTCTGCAGGCAACTGTTGTACTGACCTGCTATTTTTTGCAGTTGTGGCTCTTGCAGTTTTACCAAGTATGGCAATTCTCCTCTGATATCATCAACCGGATTTCAGCTACTGAAATGTCAGACTGAACTTTTGTTTTTAAATGTATTCATCACACCACTCTTTGTAAACTCCAGACACTGCAATGTGTGAAAACCCAAGGTGTACATAAATTTAGTGTATATTGAGTTGCAGACGTGTTTGGCTTATTGTAGGATCAGGCTACTTGTATTAATGAGCAGGTGTAATAAACTAGACGCTGAGCGTAATTTTTCAGGATTCTTTTGTTCCTGTTCAATACTGCCACCTAGTGGACAATTTGATATACTTTAAATTAGTGACACCTGAAGCCCTTGTTAAAAGTGGGGCTGTGTTACAGTGTAACAGTGTTACCTCACATTTAAAATGGCACTGTACAGGGCCTCCACGTGGCCACAGATCCCAGCACACCTCATCCTCGGAGTGTCAAGTGTGCGAAAATCACTTCACGGGGGCCATTCAATGTCCACCTGGGTTTATGATCTGACCGGAGAAACAGACAAGCCAGCAATGAGCAGCTGAGCCTGGCAAGCCTGAACAGCCCTAAACACACCTGAACACGCCTGAACACCAAAACATCCATGAACAGCTCCGAGTTTTCGTCCACTTCCATTGGCCTCCCCTGCTTCTTTGCCAAAGAGCAGCATCTATTGGTAGCAATGGGAAACTACATTTATTACCTCTTGAGTTAAGCAGAGAAAAAACACACAGGGCACAAAAGGTTGTTTTTATAATTCATCAACAAAAACTGGTAACATAAATGCTCAATTAAAAAGCTACGATGAAAATCTGTGCAAAAGCAATTTATAAACAATCCACGCAGAGCGGAGCCCATTATTACAGATACACACAGTGGGACTCTGGGAAGGGCATGTGGCTCACAGACACCCACCATCCGGAAAAGTTCTTCTAGAAAATTCATCTTGGCCAAGCACAGAGGAATCAGCAATAAATTAAAGCTTGAGTTTGACCCGGCGTGGATGTCCAAGTGCAGCGGCGAGTCCAGTCCAATGGGTCATGCAGAGAGAGTGGAACCCCCTGTGGATGGACACCTCCCTGACGATGCCCAGAGATGACTGCTGGTTCATGTTATGGAGTATGTTATGGGACTCGCTAATGATGGCCAACTGATTCTTCATGAACCAATTGCTGTATTTTCTGACACCACTAGATGGTGGTCTCTATTTAAAAAAGGGCTCAATTCATGCCCCAAAGCAAACCTAAGAGTTCCATCTAGAGTAGCCAAAAAATACAGAAAGTGGTTTATGAAGCTTCATTTGCCCATCACTAGGACTCACACACCCCACACGCACACTGACAGAAGCCCAGGCCTGAGGGGGCAGTGCCAGAACCTGGGGGCGGGGCTAGTCTCCAGGCATGCTCTGTAGGTAGGTGAGGATGTGCTGGATTTTGAGCAATCGCTCTCGAAGAGACAGCAGGGACAGCATGGATAACTGGTAGCGTGGGTCCACGGGCAGCACTGCCAGCAGCCACCAGCAGCAGGCCGGCCCGTCCGCCGTGGCCTGAGGACGCAGCAAACCGGGTCGGCGGGCAAAGTATCATTAAGTGCATCATACTTTCACATCTCCCCCCAGCCCTTGGGGGGGGACATACCTGGATGTTAGGCTCCCGTTCCGGCATGGGTCCGAAATGCTGCAGGATCTGACGCTGGAAGTGGTTATTCAGGTTCTGGAACCAAGCCTGAGCCTGCTCATACACCTGGTCATGCAGCACCTGCAGCTCGGACAGCTCCGGGCCATTTTGGACCTGACAGCAGCACCAGGTTCCCATCAGCCATGCAAAGCTACTCACTGGGTCTCACCAGAAAATGAACAATTAACCCAAAGCTACAGCCCATCCCGTCGATGGTCTATGTGGTCACGGTCTATGACCTTTCACCACTCCGCCACCTAGTGTCAAGGATGGAAGAGCACTTCACCTTGACATCCTCCAAGTACTTGATGTCAGCAATGCAGTAGCCGTCCCTCATGCTGCGGCTGAGCACACGGAAGCGACTCCTGCCCACCGCGTCCACCACCGAACGGCCGTCCGGCAGAAAGTGGACGCTGCGGATGTGCAGCATGCAGCCGTAGTCAACATAGCTGGAGGATGGAAGAGAGAGAAAGAGTGAGAGAGAGACAGATAGGAAGTCGGAGACAAACAGAGAGACTGACAGAGAAATAAGGACAAAGAGACGGACAGCGAGAGGGAGAGACTGACAGATGGAGAGAGAAAGACAGAGAAAGACAGTCAGGAATAGAACGACAGGTAACCCTTTCTGGGCGTCGTTGAGGCACATGGCAAACTGGCGGGTTCCGGTCTCCATGCAGCGTCGGACCATGAGGCGGTAGCGTGGCTCGAACACATGCAGGGGGCAGGGCACCGTGGGGTACGCCACCGTGCACACGAACACCGGGACACTCCGGGTGAGGCTGAGGGGACAGAGAACCAAAAGCAGGTAAGTGCCTCATTTAATAACACGCTCAGTTCACAGCTGGGAAATGCCAGGGGTGTCCTGGAGGGGGGGGGGCTCACTCGGAAAGCTCCTGGGTCTCCTCCGCATGGAGCTTCTGCCTGTCCAGCTTCTCCACAGGCAGGTATTTCTGGATGACATCATCCAGCAGCTGTGTCAGCGGGTATTTCCTGGATGCCAGGTACTGAGGGGGGGGAGAGGGAGGGTGTAGCATGGCAGGTGGGACCCGAGCATGGGTTTGAGTGCATGAAGATCCAGGATGTGGCGGGGGGCTGACCTGCTTCAGGCTATGCTTACACAGGGGGCACTGGGGGGTGTGGTCCAGGCATCGCTCCAGGCAGCTCCTGCAGAAGGTGTGGCCACAGGGCGTGGACACTGGTCTGTAGAACAGCCTATGGCAAGAGGGGTGGGGTGAAGTCAGCATCTGCGCCACACCCCTCAGAAATTGGAGGAGGAGGGGGGCACTTTTCACCTCATGCAGAGCGAGCACTCAAAGTCGGAGGCCTCGACCAGGTGAACAGGGACTGCTCTGTGGGGGACGGACCCTGGGAGACGGCAGGAAGCAGAGATATGAGGGGCAGGGGAAGAGGATGGTGAGACACAAATGAGCACCTACATGGCGTCTGTTAAACATTTTTAAAAACAGGTTTATCATTTCATGTTCACTTTTAATAGATGTCTCATCCCAGGGGACATGCCGGGCCCCGCCTCCCTGAACACCATTCCCCGCTGATGCCTGTCCTACCCTGGGGATCACACAGGGCCCCGCCTCCCTGAACACCATTCCATGCGGATGCCCGTCCTACCCTGGGGATCACTCAGGGCCCCATCTCCCTGAACACCATTCCACGCCGATGCCCGTCCTACCCTGGGGATCACACAGGGCCCCGCCTCCCTGAACACCATTCCCCGCCGATGCCTGTCCTACCCTGGGGATCACACAGGGCCCCGCCTCCCTGAACACCATTCCCCAATGATGCCTGTCCTACCCTGGGGGTCCCACAGGGCCCCGCCTCCCTGAACACCATTCCCCGCTGGTACACCAGGGCCCCACCTTCTTTATTCTGGTGCATGTTGCCCTCCTGGGGGATGGGGGTGTGTCCACTGTCAGAGGCCAACAGCTTCCGCTTCAGTTGGGTCCCCTTGTCCTGGTCTCCCAGCTGGGGAGCTGACCGAACCCGCTTTAGGCCGTCTGGAGCCCCAGGGCCTCCACTGCCTGCCCACATGGACTGGGCTCGCTTTAGGGCGGGCTGCTCTGTTCCCTGTGGAGAGGGAGAAGGCGATGAGAAGCCAGGGGCCCAACCCTGGCTCCTACAGGCCATACCTCTGTACGGCCTCAGATTTCAGGGGAGGCATCCACTCCAATTTGTACCTCTGCATGCTGTTCAACAGCGGCCTCACCATGGGCGGTGCGCACCAGGGCCTTGGCACGTGTGTAAGGGAGCACACTCACAGTGGCCTGGTGAAGGCTGGCCTCCATGTCACAGCAAGACGGGGACAGTCGATCACACAGGATCTGCAGGGAGACAGCAGGTATGTGTGTGTGTCTGTGTGTGTGAGGCTACTTATGGATCCCAGGCAGCCATGATTCTCAGACCCAGTTACGGGCCAGTTCTGGGAATCGGGGCCTCTGTTCTAAGAATACAGTGTCACTTACACAAGTAAACCTTACACTGCACTTTCCAAAAAGTCACCATGATGGTGTTCCGTCCCCATTCAGTCACAGTATCCGATTTCTTGGCCCAGGATTCCCAAGCCAGGATCACGTGGGAACCTGTGAAGGAGCAGCTGACGCCATCTCTGTACGCTTCTGACCCTCACCTCCGCCACTTTCCTCCTAGCTGGCATGAAATCAGCATCCAGCAGGAGGCAGTGTAGGAACACCTGCAGGGAGTCGTCCACCTGACCCATCTCCTGCAGGATTCGAGCCTTCTGGAAGTAACCCTGGTGGAGCAAGATGTCAGAGTGTGCAAGCTGGAAACAGTCCTCGCACCAGTGAAACTCACTGGCGCCCCCTATCTGAAGGGCTGTCACTGACTTCCAGCTGGAACAGATCTAAAGGAGGTTAGCAGTAGATATTCCCTGAAGTGTCTACATCAGGGGTCTCCAACTCCGGTCCTGGAGAGCTACCGTCCAGTAGGTTTTCTATCCTACCTGGCTTATGATGAGCCACACCTGTTCTCAGGTAAATACCAGGAGCAGGTGTGGCTCATCAGAAGCCAAGTGGGACAGAAAACCTACTGGATAGTACCTCTCCAGGACCGGAGTTGGAGACCCCTGGTCTACATTATCAGTAAATACACTGGCCCCCCACCAGGCGTCACATTCCAGCTGAACTGCGAGGCATCTTTGCAGCTCAATCACACACTCACACCCGGTTCCGTGACCTACCTGGGTCCAGCCTGCCGACCTCAGCACCACCACCGCCACATCCTCCAGAGCCAGGGGGTACTGCTTCAGACCCTCGTAGACCTCAGCCCTACAGGCCAGTGCCACCACGTCGCTGGGGTCTGCAGAGGGTCTCAGGGAACACATGGTGGCCTCTGTGAGCTCAGCACTCAGCCAAGCCAGAGTATAAAACTACATACCTGACAAACTCTCGGTCAGACAACAGAACTTTGATTAAACCTAATGAAGTGGAGCAGATGAGCGGCTTCTGTCAAGACCCGAAATATCTCACTCTCTCTTACTGCCTAAAAACCCACTCCCTCCATTAGAACCACTGCTTCAGGAAGCTCCCTAACTGGCTTCCCCTTGCGGCCAGACAGAACCCGGCTGTGTGGCCTGTATGGAAGGCATCTTGGGACAGCACAGGTACCGTGACTGCACAGTAAGAGGCGATGACACGGTCACATGGTGCTCTGAAACGGCAGACTCCCCCTAAACGAGTGTGCTAACTGCCCAAAGCATGGTGCATCGTCCCAGAATCACTCGCACAAATCGGTATGTTTAAAAGGTCCAGATGTTCTTGAAGGGGAAACAATTCGACATGAATAAGCAGCGGAAGAGCAGCTTGAAACACAAGGCAGGTGGTTTATTAGCAAAGACTGGAGTAGAGCTCAGAACCCAGACAGTTCAGGGAATAGATGATACTTGTACTGACACGACCTGACATGACCTGGCCGCATGACAGGAGAACCCCTGCAATACCTACAGAGGCCTTTGAGATCATGTGACAATATATGTGGTTTTTAGCTGCTTTCCAAGGTGCACCAAAGCCCTTCCTCAAAGTCTGACACAGCCCTGGTAATACACTCTTAAGTAAAAAAACACCCTGCTTCTAACAGTAAACTTACTTCCAGCCACACACAGCTGGAGTCCTAAAGTTCCCCATGAAACTTACTGAACACAATTCCAGGGAGTCGCGTCCTCTAACCTTACAGGACGTCAAACGCTCTTAAAAAAACGCTCCTGACCTGCCTTACACAACGCGCGCCCGGTGCGCATGCGCCGCGCTCACGTTGTATAATGGGGTCATAAAAGGCATGGATGGGGGCTGCATTTCACCTGCTCATCGCTATGCATTAAATGCCTGTGACGGGATGGCTGCATGCGATGCATGATGCAATGCATTACAAAACAAACCAATTCCCGCAACAAACTTTTCCTGTTGAATAAAGTTTGAAAGGAGTAAATGAACTGAAAGATCTCACCTGACTTTAACAACTTATTGACGAGCGTCAGAGCTCCTCGGAACCGTTTCCTCCTGGTCAGATCTTCCACCTCTCTCACACATCTGTATCTCTCCATGTCTTCGGGAAACCACTTTCGAAGCACGCCGTTTAGAATCACATTTGGCTTCGGCTCCTCCGACAGCTTCTGACCGCACGCTTTGCACTTGCTAAAAAGCTCCTGGTCCAAGCAGCGCTTACAGAAGGAGTGTCCACATGCCACCGTCACGGGCTCGCCGAGAAAGTCGCGGCAGCCGGGGCAGCTGAACGGATCGAGGTCGGTGACCGCTTCCTGCGCCGGTGCCTCTACGGGCTTCTTGCTGAAGTTCCGCAGGATGCAGTCTACCAAAGCGGCCAGCCGCTCCGGCCGCACTGATCCGTCGCTGAATGCCATGGAGAAGACGTCCAGCGTCTCCTTGAGGAGGGCATCGACTCTTTGGAGTATGAGTGTCGGATGATGATGAGCGTCACCCCCGTCCCACTCGGAGTCCGGAGCTAAAACGGGTGCTATGAAGAAGCCGGCATTCGGGACCGGGGCTGTCATACTGCAAAAGCCGTGCAGGCTTTTTTGTCGGAGGATTGCTGTCAGGGCAGCATTCCTGAACGCCATGCACGGATCCGCACTGCCACCCCTCCGGTATATAAAGTGACGTGACGTGGCCGCGACGGCGGGTCTCCATTGGCCGGGAGCCGCGTTACAAAACCCCTGTTCGGGAGTTTCATAACAGCCCGGGCCTCGAAGAGCTGCTCCGAAAGCAATGGAAGAGGTTCGCTGGAAACTTTTTATACAGCTGAGCGTCAGCTCCCACCCCAGCCGCGCTTTCAGAGGAGCTGTTTCTGAAGCGCTCCTTCGAAAGACTGTCTATTTGGTCATGTGTTCTTCAAATACTTATGTTCAAAACGACACACGCAGCTTTTGAATAAAATAGTGGGCATTTGTGTGGCACGTTGACAACGTAAAAAAAAGTTCCATGAAGTCACGTCTAATGCAGGGTCATAAAAGGCTGGGACACCTTGGGCAGCACAGTAGTGACAAAGACACATTAGTAACATTAGTGACTATAAGAAGCTGTCCTCAGTGCCACTCGCTATCAAAAGAGCCACTCCGAGGCATGGTGTCACGGTTGTTAGCACTATTGTCTCATACCGTTGGGACCTGGGTTTGAGCCTCTGCCATGGTTCCATGTGTGTGGAGTTTGCATGTTCTCCTGTGTCGTAATTGGGTTTCCTCTGGGTACTCCGGTTTCCCCCACAGTCCAAAAACATACTGAGGCTGATTGGAGTTACCAAACTGCTTGTACGCGAGAGGTAATGGTGTTGTTCCCTGCTTTGATCCTGAATAGGACAAGCAGTTATGGAAAATGTAGCCATGGAAAAAAATTAAGAGACCACTCTATATTTTTAAACAAATCTGCATTTTAAAATTGTGGTTTAATTGTGGTTCTACTGGCTGAAGACAGCAGTACACAAGAACAAGGTGAAGCAGGAGACACTGGGAACGACCAGAAACCAGCCAGGTAAAGGGTGGAAGCGACATTCTAATGCCAGAGATGACCATTAACTTATTTGACAGTTTCTCATGAATCATAGGATGACATCAAGTGACCTTTAAAAGGGAATGGGAAACATTAAGTGTAGGTGTGAGGTGTACTGCTAAGACTGTGCGTATCCGGCTCCTAGAAGCAGGACTAAATATATTATTCACAGACGCACACCCATAAATTGAGAAATGAGTGAAACAAAAAATTGTGCTGCGGTCTCTTAATTTTTTCTGCAGCTGTAGATGGATTAACAGGGTTAGGTGTGAAACCCACTAAAAATAATCTAGAGCAGGGGTGGCCAATCTTATCCGCCAAGGGCCGGTGTGTATACAGGTTTTTGGGATAGCCTGTAGGTCAGCTGTTCAAACCCAGGTGTGAGGACCCATCAGCCAATCAGTCCTCTAATTAGTAATCTGATTATGGAGTGTCTGCAAAAACCTGCACACACAGCAGGCCTTTCATTTGTGTTAAATTCAAAGAGATGCTATACAGTAAGGTGCAGATGCTTGGTCTAAGGAAGCAGTCAGTGACGCAACGTATGCACCTCCTCACAGCAGGTGACGCGACGTATGCACCTCCTCACAGCAGGTGATGCGACGTATGCACCTCCTCACAACACAGGTTTCACGGGTGATGCACCTCCCCACAGCAGGTGATGTGACCTATGCACCCCCTCACAGCACAGGTTTCCTGAGTGATGCTGCCACCGGCTTCTCAGGTGACACTGTGTACGCACCTCCTCACAGTGGGTGGCGCTGCACATGCACCTCCTCACAGGACCGGATATTTTCTGGGCACTCAAAGTACTTGCAGCCCAAGTGAGTCTGCAGCAATAGAGTCTGGTGTTACGGTGACACCTAATGGCCAAAGATGATATTGCTTATCCGGAATGTAATACATAATTTATTATTAATAATAATACATTTTATTTATAGTGCCCTATACGTCACAGGATCTCAAAGTGCTACAAGTAAAAAAAAAAAAAAAAAAAACAATTTAAAAGTAAACCATTTTAAAACCTCTAAGTTAGGGAACCAAAGGTTTTGTTAAAAAGAAATGTCTTAAGACGCTTTTTGAAACAGTCAGTGGGTTGTGGTGCCCTCAGGAAGTCAGGGAGGGCATTCCACAGGCGTGGAGCAGCAACACATAAAGCCCTATCTCCCATAGCCTTCAGATTGGTTCTGAGTATGTGGGGGAGGTTTGAGTGTGTAGAACGAAGGGAACGTAGCGCGCGTTGTGGGTTGATAAATTCTTTGAGGTGGGGTGGTGGGGGGTATGGCATGTCCAATGATGCATTGATGTGTAAGAAGGCAAACCTTATATTTAATCCTGGCGGAGACGGAAAGCCAATGAAGTGAGTGGAGGATTAATTTTACATTAATGGTCGGTAACGTTACTAGTAATTCGTAGGGAGCCATCTGAGCCAATAGCACTTTTGACGGGGACGATAAGCGCCGCGCTGTCACGCCATCCCCCGGTCTACAGCTTTTACCCTGATGTATCCATGATTGTAACGGGCTGTATCAGTAGCGCGTGCTGTAAATATACTTGGAGGTGTCTGCACACTATTTATGTAGAATAGTACGACCAGTACGGGTAATAGTCAATGTGGCGCACTTAGCGCGCATTACCGCCGGCGCCCCCCCATCTGGCGCCCCCTCAGAAGGTGGTGCCCCTGCAGGCGGCCGCCTATAGGATTGACCGGCCCTGAGTACGCCAACACGGAGAACACAAAGTCGGATTACGTATAATTTTGTATACAGACAGACGTCACTCGGCTGGACTTTTTACAGCTGTAGGAAAACTGAACCGGATCGGTATTCATTATCAAATCCACCTGTTCGGAAAATTCAACACTCACAATAATTAAAAGTGCAATGGGTCTAGCGATATCTGAACCATTATCGGAACAGGTATGTCCTAATATGGCAAAACAAGCTGAATAATGCCATTGTGTTTTTTCCTTTTTCTTGCAGATGTGTTGTGCTCGGACGGTTTCGTTCTTCTGCCCTTGTTCTCATCGATCCCTGTTATTTTCCTGCCACCCTCTCTTTTCCTTCCTCAGGTCGCCATATGTTTGCGCATAGGGTGAATTCAGGCGGGCGCACCTGGGTCCACGAAAACAATGCGGCTCGCAAACATCCAGTGAAGCAGCTAAACTCGGAGCATTTTTCAGCCAAGGCCACCCGCATCTTACGCCGCATATACGGCAGGTTATTTCGATACTGCGGACGCAGCACAGCTGCTTCCTAGACGACCGCTTTACTGGTCGTGGGGTGCTGAGGATCGGAATTCACGGAAGTGCAAGTAGCCTACTAGGAAAAAGTAATAGCAGTAACCGTGCTAAACAAGCAGCAGCAACTGCTGCTATTACTACCACTGTTATCAATATTCATTGATTATTATTAACAATTGTTGTTGGTAATAGTAGTAGGTAACGGTGACGTCCGGTGCGTGACCCGCTTGCAGCCCGACGGAGCTGATCAAGCTGCCCGGCGGAGCTGATCAAGCTGCCCGGCCTTTAGGCATCGTGTGGGTTCATGTTTGCATCCGCTGTATGGTTACTAGTCCTACCCGGTGTCTGACCAGGGGCGGAGGAGGGATCTCACAGCACGGGGGGAGGGTCCCCATCAGTAAAATTACGACCTGGGGGTTCTCTGTAAAAAAAAGTCGCGAATTTTCCTGATCGTTTATTATCAAAAGGGCCACTCCCTTGTAAGTTGAGGCCTGTCTCTGTCCACTTCATGTCCGTGTGACACCCCTGCCAATCCCCCTTTGATATTCTCCCTGTCTCTCATCAAAAACCTAACTGGTGGTGAAGCTGGGATCATAAAAGTATGACAAACATTTTGGGGATAGCAGTAATGTCCTCACCATTTCCGAGGAGGCCTCCAGAACAGTGAGCGATCCAGTGGGCGTGCAGTGGTTAACGAACGAGGCGAAATTGCCCAGCCGCCCGAAAGCACATTTGGTGGAGATCAGTTCAAAGCGCTTCGCTCAAAAGTGGAAGTGAATTCAGAGCCAGAGCCAGCCTGTGGGAGCGAATGTGGTCTCCCACGCAGTGCAAAGCCGCCGGGTTAAGCAGCCATTCCTGGCTTTGACTTTTCTCCTTTCACCAACAGATGCTCACGCTGCTGGTCACTGTCACACGCAGCTGCTTTCACGGACCTTTGCTGCACCAGTGTGGACACGGTGGCAAATGGTGCTTATCAGCAATTGGTCCCCTGACCAGCAGGGGGCGATGTTGGATAGTTTTGCAAACAAAGCGGTAACTTCTCTCACTATTGCTCCTGCTGATGACGGTTATAGGCCTTCAGCACGGTGATGAAGGTGAGGAAGATGACAGATTACAGGGGAGACCAGGCTGGTCGACCTCTTCCATGCCAGAGGAAGCGAAAACAACATTTACATTAAAACATTTACAACCGATCCTGCATATTAAAACAAGACTAATTTCAAAGCCAGGATAATATCAGAATCACTAATCTTGGAGTGTGCTTCCCTTCCTGGGAATTGTCAAATTTGAAAACCTGATCATCTATTTGGTATCTGTTTCCCCACCCCCTCATACACATATTTATCATACGTAGCAGAACCACCTAAAGAACACGCAGTGCTCAAAGCGGACGGGTGAGCCAAGGGGAAGAGGGAACAGTAGTACTCCCTGGCGGGGATGAGGGGGGGACAGCAGCTGGAGAGGAGCAGGTAATGATCGGGGGGG